TGAAGATGAAGATGAAGATGAAGATGAAGATGAAGATGAATATGAACATGAACATGAATATGAAAATGAACATGAACATGAACATGAACATGAACATGAAAATGAACATGAACATGAACATGAACATGAATATGAAGGTGTAGATAAACATAAACATAAACATAAACATTAAAAGCGATAGAGACAAAGATAGAGAGGAAGAAAGAGATAGGGATAAAAAGGAAATACAACTGAAGAATGTGCGATGTTATATTGTGATGTGTTATGCTACATATGTTATGTTATTGAATCTAATGCTATTCTATGTTATGTTATGCTAAGTACTAAGCTAAACTCCCCTCCACTTAAGCCATTCCAACAAATTTTATTTCAGCTCAACTCAACTCACATAAACTATCCTTAATTTTAGCGGTTGAATTTCAACCGCTGGGCGAACACTAGTTTCAATAAATACGCACATATGCACATATGTATGTATGTATGTACAGTGTGTACATATTTACTCATATTCGTAATCTATTTATTTTGAAATATGTGAGCTTCCTAAACATGTCCTTGGTGCATAAATATACTTGTATGTAAATATATTTGCATACACACGCACACGCACACTCACACGCACACTGCCATCACCATATCTTCTTCTTACCTTATCAGCTCTTGTCTCAATACGGTATTCATGGAATTCGTATACACCACCGGATACTTTTGACCCACCTCTGCAAGACTGAAAGGCTTTGGTAGGCGTGAAAGAATGTCTTTGCATATGGCAAATGCTGGGTCAACAACAGCGCCACCCGCTGTGCCACTTGCCTTCACAGAAGCCATTAAATCCGTTTGAGTGAGTAAAACACCGCCAATCAACTGCGTTTTTTTAGAGGAAACAAATTTAAATTTAATGGTTGAGATTTAAAATAAATACGCTCCAATCAAGATGAATAAGTAAATGCTTGTTGTTGTTGGGATACTTACGCTACTCGTCTCCTTGTTGTTGCGATTAATGTCGGCATTTTCATGTAAGCCGAACACTTCCGGATGTGGACTAAGTGCAAATGTCGAAATGTATTCGATGGCATTGAGACGCGTTGGATTTAGTGGAACACGATAGGTGCCCGATTGTGATAAGGGATAGCTGGGTGACAAAGAAGAAGCACAAAAACAAAAAAAAAAACAAAATATGTATAACTTAAATTAAAGAGGTAAGTATGTATGTATGTATGAACATAGTATGTATACTGAATAAATATGTAAAAGCTACCAAGTAGTATATGACCATCAAACAATAAAAGTGGTAGCTATATAATCTCAACGAACCCCTCACCCAAGTCGGGAATTGAAGATTTGTGAGATTCTCTTGATCATACCAGTGTTCTAATTCCCAAGTGGCTATCAGAATAAATATCCAATTTTATGAAAGTTGCACACTTCAACAGCTTCCTTCTGGGCCGTAAGATCTGCGCGAAAATTACTAAGGAGGTCTGAAAGCATTATTAGAGATTCATGGAGAGTTCCGAGAGAAAACATGGGTCTCACCACTGATTCCATGAACTCTCCATATGAGCCCGAAGTGTTCGACAGACTAAGGACGGTGCAAGCTATAGCTGATTAATTAACAAAGCCTTCTCTGGTAAGCTCTACTAGACTCCCACATCACTGTAGGCTTTAACAATAATGCCATATAGATTCAAGAACTACTTTGGGTTGCCACCTGTTTAAAAATCATATTATGTAAGAGAAATATATATATCACTATATGGGTGCCGAACGAAAAGGGTTTCAGAAAGTAGTAGTTTGAAGATATACTAAGAGGGTTGCCATCTGCTTGAAATGTGGAATTTAGTTTACTTATACACAAGTTATATGAAATATCAAAATATGGATGTCGAACGAAGGAGTGTTAAGAAATCTTTAGTTTGAACGCTGAGAATATTTTTGAGGTGTTGGTAGAGGGTTGCCACCTGTTTAAAAAGTTAAATTCAAACTATTTTACCAGTTAAATGGATTATTAAAATATGGGTATCAATCGAGGGGGGTTAGAAATTTTTTTATATCTGAGCTGTTTACTACTCGCCACCAGTTTGTAATAACCGCCAGAAAAGAGGATAAAAAACAATGAAATTATCGTCTAAGCAATTATGCCTCAGAATAAGAAGACGCACTTCGGGAAAGTATGAGCTGCTGCAAGGTTTGCTGGGATGAGATAAAGCCACTTAAAGCTCCAACAAAACGCCATTATAATATAAACGCTTGCAATATAAACATACACACATATCGCAAGTTCTAAACTAAGGTAACTAAAAAAGTTGCTGTCGCTGTCACGAGCGGCCCTTAAAATCGAAAATATACGTGACATTCTATAAAATTGGCAAAATTCAATATGAACAATATAAATACATGAGATAAAGATAAGAGAGCCAGAATCTTCAGAATATATTCGCCTCACATACGTATGTACATACATACATATGCTCCTATGCCAACCACAAACAAAGAAACCAGTACTTGGGAATAGTAAATACCTCGAATTCACCCGCTGCGGGCGAGCATACTTATCTAGTATGTTTGTATGTATACTCACTTGTCCATTTCGATTGTGGTTGGATTATATATCATGTTGAGCAGTGAAAGGATTAAGCGGCGATCCTTGTCATCCGTAACGCGCCCACCATAGTTGCATTCACCGTAAGATAGACATGTCCACGAAATGGTATACTCTTGCTTTGTGCTATGAACATCTTCAGCTGCATCAGCGAAATTCTATTGTTGATAAAATGACAAACAGAAACTACACACAAAGAAAAATATAAATAAAAATAAAAACAAAAACATGAAAGGAATAGAGAAAATAAATAACTTGAAGTGGATAGAAATATAGATACTAAATAGAAGAGAAATAAAGCCGCTACAAAGAGGCAAACAAGTAAGCTGAGTCGAGTGAAATGAAACGAGGAGGCACACAACACATCTGTGCAGGATTTGTGGTTCAGTTGCTTGACATTGTAAAATGGCGAAATGTGGGTAGTAGTGCAAAATTGGAAAAGCAGTTACATAGTAGCTAGATGCTGACAAATACAAAAATAAGCTTGTAAACCACTGAGAAATTGGTTTTACTGTTTCTCTTTGTTTTTGTTTTCGTTTTTGGTAATACACAAATGCTCTAGAATTTGAATAAAATATCCACATAGACCACTTGACATTTTAACGCCCACGCAATCGTCCATTGTAAGCAAGCAAGTCAAACTGCCATCTGCATTTATCGCTCACTCACACACACACAAACACAAAAGTCGCCTAATTTTACTTCTTGTTGACCTCACTTACTTCAAATCCGCCTCACTAAATTCGTATGGTATATTCCAGCCCAATCGGTCCGAATTCACGCCGCTCCTGCACCACAGCATGAAAGTAAACCAAAGCGAAGACACCGCGCAGCCAACACTTATTTGCCATATCGGAATAGAGGAAGGCATTCGTAAAGAATTTATCGCGTACCAATGGATCCGAATTAAACGACCTAAACATGTTCGCCTTAAGACCTTTTGGCGGCTCATTTGTCATCTTTCACGAATTCTGCAGCACCGACACGGGAAATACGTTGCTGGGATACGAAGTGCACCATAACCTATAGTCCGGATGTGCTGACTCTGCCAACGTCGTATCATTGCAAATGCGCTCTAATTCGCCCATCCAACTGACAGCGACGTGACAATTTTGCAAAACAACCCAATGGCCGTAACGATTTGCTTCCAAAATCATTTTCTCGGCGCGTGGACCTTGACCTTGACCCAATGAAATTGTTTTTGTTCTGAAAAAAAAACAAAAAAAAAATGCAGGTAGGGTGAAAAGTAGAGCTATTGGTATATATGTATGTATGTGGGTGTAAGTGCGGGGGTAATGGAATATTTTGTTTTAATTTCATTAGCAAGTTTTAGGGCTGTGATTTAATATGCAAACAATTGTGAGTGACTTGGAAGTATTCAATTGGCTTGTATAATTTTTTTGAGTGGTATGAAATTTTTTTTCTGTTGTCTGTGAAAAATTTGCGTACGCCTGTTGCATTTTAAATTTCCTCCACATTTGATATCTACCAGCGAGCAATTAACGTATAATTAGGGTAGAATTGATTTTCTTCTAAATACTACAAAGATGCTAGTATATTACTGAAAAAGCTCTGATAAGTATTTTTGTCTGACAACTAAATAGATAAGGTTTCTGAAATTTAATGCAACATTCAACTGGATAAATTATGTATGTGTCTTTCTAGTACTTATAGCCGCTAGACCTAAGCATTCACAAAGGATATGCTGAACGCTTTCCTCGCTACCCTTCAGTTGACAGCTGCAGTAAGCTCTATTATATGGGAGCTCCATTCTTTCTGCATGTTTGCCTATGGGCCAGTGGCCCGTGATAATTGCTACAATTCTAAATACTTCTGCCCTTGATCTATTGAGCAGGTCTAGAGTCTTTGTTCTGTTAGAGGCAGACCAGAGTTCCCTTGCTAATTTGCAAGTTCGTATGTCCGACCACCATCTTCTTGCTTTCAATGTTCCTATGATCGGGAACCCAGACAAGAGAAACGCTTTTTGACGCAGACACTGCACATAATACCGTTTCACATTTCTGGATTATCTGGGATTGGGTGATCGCTGATGCTAGTGATAACAGAACCGCTTGGCTGTCAGAGTATATTGTTGCTTTCTTAATTCTACTGATGCCTTCTGGTATAACCTTACAAGCTTCAGGCATGCCTAAAACTTCTGCATAGAAGATGCTTGGCTTATTCCCTAGGTGGAGCGACAAGGAGACGCCCAATTCCTCGGAGTATACACCTGCCCCCACACCACAGTCCATCTTTGAGACGTCGATGTAGAGAGAGAATGCCTCACCTGTATGTTTTTGATGCCTAGGTTAGATGAGTTGGCCTGTTCGTTCTCGAAAAGTTTTCTGACATAGGGCTGCCGAAATAGATCAGCCATCGATATGCAGCAATAAAGATGTGATGTAGCAGTGAATCAAATAAAAGTAGGGATGGTGCACAGAAAGCTTTGGATAGTACATCAAATAATGCTCGGAAGTTTAGCAAGGTTTTGGGAGTAACTTCCACAAAATCTGAACTGGTCTCATTTACCAGGTAATCCCGTTGTTCATTGAACAGGTCTCAACAAGTTAAGTACCTACACTTTATTCCAGATAGGAACCGATGAATCGGTCCGAAAAGCTACAACGCCAGACCACCAGGACAAGCAGAGAAAATTGGGGATTGGAGGCAAAGATTGCAGCAAGGACTTACACCTATCAACTCATTTCTATGAAGTAGAAGTTTCGTGAGATTTTTTAAGCTGAAGTAGGACTTTACTCTCTCGACGTAAGAAAACTACACTCTATACGTCACTAATCTTGCCTGTGCTGGCACATATAACGCAGAAGCATGGACAATGACAACATCTGATGACGCAAGGTGATACAAAGTATGCTGGATTATTTTTTTTTATGGAAGAAAATGCGTGATACCGTTAACCAAAATTTTTTTCAAAAATCAACGCTATTTTTTAACCACTTGAAACGCATATTGTTTATACTCAAAATGAACCCAAAATTTTTCTACAAGTATTATTAACTTACATATATACTGCCGGGCATTTGAATAGGGACAGCCTTTGTTGATTTTTTTTGTTTAATTTGTTGTTTTAAAGTTTTTCCTCAGGTCGTTTTAAAGAATATGCTTTATTTTATAAAATAATAATAAAATAAATTAACAAAATAAAAACTTTCAATACTAAGGATCAAAAAGTGTGCTTAATCAAATGCATGTGAGTGTAACTTATGTATATCGAATTAATAGATTTCTCTTCAATAACAACTTCTCTTAATTATTGTCTGCTTTCACAAAAACGAAAAATAAAAAATTCAATAAACGTCCTTCCACTTATAACGGTACGCATTATAAAGTTACATTGATTATACATTTTGCTATTGACAATCATGGCAAGCAATTAAAAATTGAGTGCATTATTCTGCAGCTACTTCATCACTGTACACCAAACTGACAACTCGCTGCAAATTGTAAAAGAAAAAAAATGAAAAAAGTTTGATGTCTACACGTAGACGAATGTCGATTTAATTACAACTTCATAAACTTTTGTCCTTTTTTGCACTGATAAAAGATAAAAAAGGACACATACTTAGTCTACGTGCAACTGCTTGACATAAATGATGAAGCAGTAAAGAGAAATTCGATAAAAATTTACATCAATAATACGTCGAAGTATCCCTACTTGATGAAGCGCTGCTTGCTTGATAATGCTCGTACGAGTAGGTGGTGTACTACATACTATGTAAAATAATAACTAGAGCTGACAACTTATTGGACACTGGATTGAGAGTAGCTACGGTCTCCAGTTGCTGGTACTAAGTTGTTCATAATAATTTGTACATCGACACAGGACACATAGTATGTATGTATGTATGTATGTTTAAAATTACTTGGCACTCACAATTGTATGTCAGTTCTATTGTATGTATGTATGCATGTATGTGTGCATGTCTATATATACATATACATACATATGTGTGTGTGTGCTAATGTGTCTGTCCGGTTGACTATCGAACGAGTTCTTTAATTAACTTACTTGTCATACATGTTACGCTGTTTGGCGTACATGAATAGATTGGCCATTGGATCCGAGCCAGGCGATAGCAGAAAGACCAATGGGATTCTTGGCGAACTGTCAGCAAATGAGGCATTCAAATCGAAGAGTGGTGGCTCCACAAATGATTGGTCCATGTTGCGCGTAATGAATGTCTGTAAAATGCATGTGCAGATTAGATTGTAGAAGAAATGCTGAGAGTTGTGAACAGGAACTTATTTTATTTCTTGTGTTTTTTTTAAATTTAGTTTTTGCCTTTTTCAAATAAATTTTTTTTTAATTTTTATATTTTATTGTTTTTAAAAGAAAAAGTATATGTTCTTTAACCGCAGATTGAATTTTTTCGTCCTAGAGGCTATCGCATAATTCCCAATAAAGAAAATTTTCAGGAAAAAATGGTGATTTGCATAAGGAATCACAAATCTTCTCTACTATAAATTTTTTGTGGCGCAAGCCTTATTGGTAGGTACACATTTAGTTAACAGTATTTTGGGCCTCAACTTTCTGAACGATTATCCTGATTCTTCAAATGTAGCTTACAGTCCATTTTATTTTCTGAATATTCTCATGATGACTACGAAAATTTGTACTAGCTAGTAGCTACTCTTCTAAAACCATTTCGTTCTACATAAAACCCAAATAATTTTCGAAAGTGTGATCTAATTTTCAAAGATTATATCTTACGGAAAACAATGACTTTTCAATACATGCACATATGTATGTATGTATGTACAGTGTGTACATATTTACTCATATTCCTAATTTATTTATTTTGAAACATGTGAGCTTCCTAAACGTGTCCTTCCCACCCATATAAGGTGCATAAATATACTTGTATGTATATTTGCATACACACGCACACACTCACTGCCATCACCATATCTTCTTCTTACCTTATCAGCTCTTGTCTCAATACGGTATTCATGGAATTCGTATACACCACCGGATACTTTTGACCCACCTCTGCAAGACTGAAAGGCTTTGGTAGGCGTGAAAGAATGTCTTTACATATGGCAAATGCTGGGTCAACAACAGCACCACCCGCTGTGCCACTTGCCTTCACAGAAGCCATTAAATCCGTTTGAGTGAGTAAAACACCGCCAATCAACTGCGTTTTTTTTTAGTGAAAACAAATTTAAATTTAATAGTTGAGATTTAAAATAAATACGCTCCAATAAAAATGAATAAGTAAATGCTTGTTGTTGTTGGGATACTTACGCTACTCGTCTCCTTGTTGTTGCGATTAATGTCGGCATTTTCATGTAAGCCGAACACTTCCGGATGTGGACTAAGTGCAAATGTCGAAATGTATTCGATGGCATTGAGACGCGTTGGATTTAGTGGTACACGATAGGTGCCCGATTGTGATAAGGGATAGCTGGGTGACAAAAGAAGAAGAAGCACAAAAACAAAAAAAAACTAAATATAACTTAAATTAAAGAGGTAAGTATGTATGTATGTATGAACATAGTATGTATACTGAAAAAAAATATGTAAAAGCTACCAAGTAGTATATGACTCCCATCAAACAATAAAAGTGGTAGCTATAGAATCTCAACAAACCCCTAACCCAAGTCGGGAGTTGGATTTGTGAGATTCTCTTGATCATAACAGTGTTCTAATTCGCGAATGGCTATCAGAATAAAGATCCAATTTTAGGAAAGTCGCACACTTCAACAGCTTCCTTCTGGGCCGTAAGATCTGCGTGAAAATTACTAAGGAGGTCTGAAAGCATTATTAGAGATTCATGGAGAGTTCCGTGAGAAAACATGGGTCTCACCACTGATTCCATGACCTCTCCATATGAGCCCGAAGTGTTCGACAGATTCTACTAAGGACGGTGCAAGCTATAGCTGATTAATTAACAAAACCTTCTCTGGTAAGCTCTACTAGACTCCCACATCACTGTAGGCTTTAACAATAATGCCATATAGATCCAAGAACTACTTTGGGTTGCCACCTGTTTAAAAAGTTAAATTCAAAATTTTACCAGTTTAATGAATTATTAAAATATGGGTATCAATTGGAAATTTTTTATATCTGAGCTGTATTTAGCGGGGTTGCCACATGCTTGTAAATTGAAATTCCACCCAATTCACCAGTTGATTGAAATATGTATTGCAGTGTCCGGCGAAGTAGAGCTAACAATGATTATGCTTTAAACTACTTGTGAAGAGGGCTGCCACCTGTTGGAAATGTCTAACTCAATCAACAAATTCAAAAAGTATATGAAATATAAAAAATAACGTAGCCAAACGAAAGATTGTTAAGAAGTCTTTAGTTTGAACATTTCGAATGTTTGAGGAGAGTTGCCACGTGTTTAAAAAGTTACATTCAAATTATTCAGTAAGTTGGATGAATTAATAAAAGATGGGTATAAATTGGAATGGGTTTGAAAGGGATTTATTCCTGATCTTGCCTTAGGAGGGTTGCCATTTGTTCGAACAATCAGATGAAAGAGATTTAAGAAGATTTTAGTTTGAGAATTCTTTTGGGAGACTGTTCTTCACTCAGAAATGGCTGACTAAAATTTGGAATTTTTTTTAAGTTTTGAAATTTAATTTTGAGCGTTTTAACGCCATGCGGGTTCACTGGTTCATTAAATTCTTCCTGAACTTCCTGAAAAGGACTTAGGCCAGTAGAGCGTGTTGAGGAAAAGTCCACATTAAGATCTATCTATCTATTTATGCTTGAATCTGATCAAATGTTAAGGGTAACTAAAAACTTAACTTTTTACAGAAAGTACGTCGTCATTTGGATAGGAATGGCGCTACTCGTCACCAGTTTGTAATAACGCGCCAGAAAAGAGGATAAAAAACATGACGAATTATCCGTCTAAGCAAGTTATGCCTCAGATTAAGACAGACAGCACTTCGGGAAAGTATGAGCTGCTGCAAGGTTTGCTGGGATGGCGATAAAGCCACTTAAAGCTCCTACAAAACGACCATTAAAATATAAACGCTTGCAAACAACAATACACACATATCGCAAGTTCTAAACTAAGTAACTAAAAAAGTTGCTGTCGCTGTCACGAGCGGCCCTTAAAATCGAAAATATACGTGACATTCTTTAAAATTGGCAAAATTCAATATCGAACAATATAAATACATGAGATAAAGATAAGAGAGCCAGAATCTTCAGAATATATATGCGCCTCACATACATAACTACATCTACAACCAACCACAAACAAAGAAACCAGTACTAATGTATACGAATTCACCCGCTGCGGCGAGCATACATATGTAGTATGTTTGTATGTATACTCACTTGTCCATTTCGATTGTGGTTGGATTATATATCATGTTGAGCAGTGAAAGGATTAAGCGGCGATCCTTGTCATCCGTAACGCGCCCACCATAGTTGCATTCACCGGTAAGATAGACATGTCCACGAAATGGTATACTCTTGCTTTGTGCTATGAACATCTTCAGCTGCATCAGCGAAATTCTATTGTTGATAAAATGACAAACAGAAACACACAAAAGAAAAAATAATATAAAAATAAAAACAAAAACATGAAAGGAATAGAGAAAATAAATAACTTGAAGTGATAGAAATATAGATACTAAATAGAAGAGAAATAAAGCCGCTACTAAAGAGCAAACAAGTAAGCTGAGTCGAGTGAAATGAAACGGAGGCACACAACACATCTGTGCAGGATTTGTGGTTCAGTTGCTTGACATTGTAAAATGGCGAAATGTGGGTAGTAGTGGCAAAATTGGAAAAGCAGTTACATAGTAGCTAGATGCTGACAAATACAAAAATAAGCTTGTAAACCACTGAGAAATTGGTTTTACTGTTTCTCTTTCGTTTTTGTTTTGTTTTTGGTAATACACAAATGCTCTAGAATTTGAATAAAATATCCACATAGACCACTTGACATTTTAACGCCCACGCAATCGTCCATTGTAAGCAAGCAAGTCAAACTGCCATCTGCATTTATCGCTCACTCAGCACACACACACACACACAAAAGTCGCCTAATTTTACTTCTTGTTGACCTCACTTACTTCAAATCCGCCTCACTAAATTCGTATGGTATATTCCAGCCCAAGGTCCGAATTCACGCCGCTCCTGCACCACAGCATGAAATATAACCAAAGCGAAGACACCGCGCAGCCAACACTTATTTGCCATATCGGAATAGAGGAAGGCATTCGTAAAGAATTTATCGCGTACCAATGGATCCGAATTAAACGACCTAAACATGTTCGCCTTAAGACCTTTTGGCGGCTCATTTGTCATCTTCACCGAATTCTGCAGCACCGAACGGGAAATACGTTGCTGGGATACGAAGTGCACCATAACCTATAGTCCGGATGTGCTGACTCTGCCAACGTCGTATCATTGCAAATGCGCTCTAATTCGCCCATCCAACTGACAGCGACGTGACAATTTTGCAAAACAACCCAATGGCCGTAACGATTTGCTTCCAAAATCATTTTCTCGGCGCGTGGACCTTGACCTTGACCCAATGAAATTGTTTTTGTTCTGAAAAAAAAAAAATAAAAAAAAATGCAGGTAGGGTGAAAAGTAGTAGCTTTCTATTGGTATATATGTATGTATGTGGGTGTAAGTGCGGGGGTGAATGGAATATTTTGTTTTAATTTCATTAGCAAGTTTTAGGGCTGTGATTTAATATGCAAACAATTGTGAGTGACTTGGAGTATTCAATTGGCTTGTATAATTTTTTGAGTGGTTTGCAATTTTTTTGACGTAGAATACGTCTTACCTTAAGGTATGGGGGCTATGTTCAAATGTTGTAGTTGTAATTTTTAGAGCTTCACAAAAACGCTTATTGCACGAGAACTAATAAAGCGATTTCAAAGAAAAGTGTGGCGTTTCAAAGATAAAATTCCAAGCCTGTCGACAGATTCATTTTTGTAAATAACCAATTCGGTTTCTGTCGTAAAAACAACGGTAAACATTGCCTTATTTTGGGGTCAATTTTGAGCCTTTAAAGTGCTCTAGCAACTTATTGTTGGCATATATAACTTTCATTTTCGGGATATAGGTTCTTTGGAGCAGTAGAAATATTATCGGGTATAAATTTTATATAAATTTAACAAATATTGAGCATTTTAAGGCAAAAAATTGTTGAAAAAATTTGCAAATTTTTTTCATTACCAAAATGCTCGAAAACCGCTCGAATGATTTTGTTTTTGTTTTCTTTAATCAAAAATTCAAGAGTTTTCCTTTCGTTTGGTATATGGGAAGTATTGGTTGATATCTTCTATATATGTTTATTTTATTCAAATATATGGGCATAAATGATTTTTCATACAAAATCACCTCGTCATTTTGCAAACACGTGCATATGTTGGAAGTGTGGGCGAAGGAGACAAAAAGTATGTATGTGTCCGTAAGTACATATTTCGTGGTTTATCGGTATAATAATCGATACTTTGTCGGTTTTATTACCGATGTTTTTATCGATTTTGCTATCGAAATTTTTATCGATAATGTTATTGATTTTGATATCGATATTTTCGGAACTTATCGATATAATGATCGGTATTTTTTCGATTTTGTTATCGATATTTTTTCTCGATTTTGTTATAGATATTTTGTTGACTTTGTTGTCGATTTTGTTATCGACACTGTAATCGATTTTATGATAGATTATTTATCGGTTTTGTTATCGATATTTTTATCGATTTTGTTATCGATTTTATTACCGATATTTTTATAGATTTTGTTGTCGGTATTTTAATCGATTTTGTAATCGATATTTTTACCGGTTTTGTCATCGATATTTTTATTGATTTTGTTTACGATTTAGCTATCGATATTATTATTGCTTTCGTTATCGATATTTTCATCGAATTTGTTATCGATATTGTTATTGGTTTTGCTATCGATATTTGCGGAACTTACCGATATAATGATCGATACTTTTATCGATTTTGTTATCGATATTTTTTATCGATTTTGTTATCGATTGTGTAATCGATTTTGCTATCGATTTTGTCATCGATACTTTTATCGGTTTTGTTACCGATATTTTTATCGATTTTGCTATCGATATTGTTATAGATTTTTTTATAGGTTTTATATTCGATATTTTTATTGATGTTGCTATCGATATTGGTATCGATATTTTAATGGATTTTGTTATGGATTTTGTTATCGACTTTATAATCGATTTTGTTATCGACTTTGTTATCGATTTTGTAATCGATATTTTGATAGATTTTGTAATCGATTTTGTAATCAGTATTGATATCGATTTTGCTTTCGATATTTTTTCGATTTTGATATCAATATTTTCATCGATTTCTTTATCGATGTTTTTATCGATTTTGCTACCGATATTATTATCGCTTTTGGTATCGATATTTTTTGCTTAGTGTGTGCTTTTGTTTTTTTACTTGGATATGCTCTTAACCATACCACGTATTCTACGTTTAAATTTAGCGGCCGTATCTCCGATACAGCCTGCAGGCCAAGACGAAGGCGCTGGACTGTTCCTTTTTTTTCTGTTGTCTGTGCAAAATTTGCGTATGGCTGTTGCATTTTAAATTTCCTCCACATTTGATATCTACCAGCGAGCAATTAACGTATAATTAGGCTAGAATTGATTTTCTTATAAATACTACAAAGATGCTAGTATATTACTGAAAAAGCTCTGATAAGTTTGTTTGTCGGACAACTAAATAGGTAAAGTTTCTGAAATTTAATGCAACATTCAACTCGATAAATTATGTATGTGTCTTTCTGGTACTTAAAACCGCTAGACCTCAGCATTCACAAAGGATATGCTGAACGCTTTCCTCGCTACCCTTCAGTTGACAGCTGCGGTAAGCTCTATTATATGGGAGCTTCATTCTCTCTGTATGTTTGCCTATGGGCCAGTGGCCCGTGATAGCTGCTACAATTCTACATACTTCTGCCCTTGATCTATTGAGCAGGTCTAGTATCTTCGTCCAAATAATGCTCGGAAGTTTAGCAAGGTTTTGGGAGTAACTTCCACAAAATCTGAACTGGTCTCATTTACTAGGTAATCCCGTTGTTCATTGAACAGGTCTCAACAGGTTAAGTATTTACACTTTATTCCAGATAGGAACCGATGAATCGGTCCGCAAAGCTACAACGCCTGACCACCAGGACAATCAGAGAAAATTGGGGATTGGAGGCAAAGATTGCAGCAAGGACTTACACCTACCAACTCATTTCTATGAAGTAGTAGTTTCGTGAAATTTTTTACGAAAAAGTAGGACTTTACTCTCTCGACGTAAGAAAACTACACTCTATACGTCACTCATCTTGCCTGTGCTAGCACATATAACGCAGAAGCATGTACAATGACAACATCTGATGAGGCACGGTGATACAAAGTATGCTGGATTATTTTTTTTTATGGAAGAAAATGCGTGATACCGTCAACCAAAAAATTTTTTCAAAAATCAACGCTATTTTTTAGCCACTTGAAACGTGTATTTTTTTGAACTCAAAATGAATGGGCTACAAAACTGCGTACCCAAAATTTTTCTAGAAGTATTATTAACTTATGTACATATATACTGCCGGGCATTTGAATCGGGACAGCCTCTGTTGATTTTTTTGTTTAATTTGTATAAAGTTTTTACATAATTCATATTAAATATATACAGTGAAACCTCTCCTAACGGACACCTCTATTAGACGGACATCTCCCTTGGGCGGACATTTTTTCCTATACCAAGTTTTAAGTATAAATTTCGGAACAAATTGCTCTCTCTTAAGCGGACACTCTCTTGGCCGGACGCGGAAAGTTATTTTGCATAAAATTT